TTGTCCTATACATGCAATGAAATGCATTACTTTGCACGTATCCTCCAATAAAAAGATAAAACGTTCCTGCATCCTAGGGAAGAGCCCCACTTCTTGAATGATCTTGAATCAACAGTTCCCAAAGAACAGAGGCTATACTTGTGTCCCAAAGTCCCTTTGGGTAGCATGTAATTGTTTTATTCATAACGGGAACATCCATTTGACTTCTCCTTCCTCACCACCACATGTCTTCTAAGAAGAAAGAAGAAAAAGGAAGAAGGAAAAACACCCTGATTATGGTTCAAGACAATCTTACAAAAGGATTGAACATTGTTACACTTTTTGCATTGTGAATCAATAGTTAGAGGTCTGAGATATCTGGCACATTTTTCCAGAAGCAAATGGAATGGACTGAATTTAGTGTTCAATGAATGAAATAAATTTCACTCATTACTTTTGTGATACCTCCAACAAACTATATTAGGATAAAAACAACAACAGTTCTGCCTGCTAAATTTAATATATTAATCAGGCTAATTATTGTTAAAATCACCATTGCTATTCCTTAAAATGTCAGATAAAAGTAAACCAATTTGTATTGTGGATATAACAGATATGTATGGGCCTTAAAATACCAAATCGGGTTATGATATAAACTCTATATAGTAATCTATCCCATGTAGCTAACCGTAAAGTTTGTTTCGGAGTTTTAAATATAATACAACCTGTGGTCGGCTTGTAATGCACATTATTACAAAATAAATGTTCAAATCTCTGTCTGTAATTAAAACGTACTGTTTTGCCTGTCTTTTGTATACTTCATACAATTCGAACCGGTCGCTTGTTTTATTCCCTATTCCCTGTCTTCCCACACATCGCCTTCCTGTTTCTTGGTCTCCGAGGGGATGATTCATTTGAAGCAGCCTTTTCAAAAGTGTCTATTAAATGACGTCATCGTGTCATGTCGACTGGCAATGTGCGCCATTTTGAAAAAAAAATCACGGGCAATTTTAGTGGCTCTGATTCCCGGCTCTTTAATCTCTTTCTCTTCCCCATCAGCAGCTTTGCAAGCCGAAAGAAAGCACGATAATAAAATTCGAGAGAATCCTTAGCGACGCCAGATCTGCTCCAGGAGGACGCAATGGCAGGTAAGATAGCAACTTTATTGCAGGAGGGGGAGAGGCCTCTTGCACTCCAAGTGCGGCCTAGCTGCACTGTTACCAGTGCATGAAAGGCAATGGGAATATTGCAGAAAAATCGGGACTCATGCTGTTAAAATTGTATTTCATTATAGGAGTCGGAGGAGGGAATGATTTTCAGTGGTGTTTCTCTCAAGTAAAAGGCGCCATAGACGAAGATGTGGCAGAAGGTAAGCTTGTGAGTGTGTTTTTCGCTGCATGGAATGACATTTGGCAATGTGTTTTTCGGTGTTTAATTAAGCGCCTTGCTGTGTTGCTCGGAGCACAGATCACTGTCAGGGGTTATATACGGACTAGTACGGCTAGATACTTAGAGTGAGTCGTTTACGTTGCATAATGCAATGCAGTGATCAATGTCCCGTTTGCTATCTCTATATTTCGAACCAGGGGCAAGTTTCTTTTAATTCGAGTGACGTCTATGTGCTGCGTCCAGACTGATGTATTATGTGGTGTTTAAAAGGGTGGAAAAAGGCTCCAACGCCTAAGAGCCTCGGAGAACATTTTAACGATAGCTCTTTGGCGTTTATGCTTTTGTATTTTTATCTTTTAGACAATAACTTGGGTGGGCTTGACAGAGTAGTACATTTTATTTAGATCACTCTGTCGAACCGAGGCAGGGCCTCAGCTATTTGTGACTGAATCGGTGGTTTTAGCTTTCTTTAGAGCTAGGTTAGTAATTTTGCAAAGAGGAGAAAACAAATAATTCAGGGGATGTTAAATAGGTAATGTTTCTCTGAACGTAAAGAAAATGTAAATATATTATCTTATGTAACACTTTATATTGATTTAATTCATAAATAACAAGTCAATTACGTCAGATTTTAGGATATTTGTAATATTCTCAACATGATGTGCAGATATTGTAGCCACACTGAGTAACGATTAGCACATACATATGTAAAGCCATCTAACGAAACGATCTCTATCTGGCTGTTATTCATACAAAAGATGAGTGAAAACATAAAATAAATGAATTGACAAATGATGAATATTAGTTTTAATATGGACAGTTTAAATAACATCCTGTGTATGTAAAAAAAAGTTCACTTTTTGATTATATAGATAGATACCCAAGGTCTAGGTAGTTGTGTACTGTGATGGATTTGCAGTGCTAGCAGTCCACATTTCAGCCACGCCAAGAGCTCTAACAGTATTTCAGGAGGTGTACCCACTGATAACTTTGTATATTGCAGTACAAAACAATCCAAATGTAGCTAAAATCTGTTTTGTTTGTTTCAAATGCAATTAATACTTCTCAGTAAACAATATAAGTTAAAGAAATTGATAGAACAGGTTTAATTATTTGTTATGGATAAGCTATGATACTAAATTATAGAATTAGTGCATTGTAGCAGGATGGTAATTAAGGGGATTTCCATGGGTGTTTTTCTCATCAGATTTTCTTAATTACACACAAGACATTTTGTTTAAGGATACCACAAAAGTGCTTTACCTTATTATTGCAGTTACCTATAGTGAATGTGAAGTCTGAATGATGTTAATTCTCACTTTTAGATTCTGCCATTTTAAAATGACCAACAATAAAGCACCTCTTAAAAACACATTTGCAGTTTGGTTTTGGAATTGAAGGTCAATTTGAAAAGCCATCAAATGTCACACTCTAATATTGTGACTTTCTTTGTAATGTTTTACAGTATTTCACTGGGAAATAAATCATTTTAGCATTGTATTCTAAGTATGTTGTGTCATTTGTACTGAATTTGTAGGAAGATTTTGGTACTTTTGTGATCCTTTTGCTTTCACAATCATTTGGCAGGTCAGACAAGGCTAAATCGTATTGCACTTCAGAGTGAACTGAAAGGTACAAATATTATTTCATACTATTAGGGATTAGGAATGTTGAAATAGTTTCAACCACTTATTGTGATTGTAGCCATTTTGTGTAGGAATCCCTCTATATTACCAAATAAGAAATAAGAAATTCGTTGGCTTTTTAATGTAGGCTGTTTGTGTTTTAACAAGTAGATCTTCCTGGTGTGTAAAAAAATACTTTCCACACCATTTTTTATTCCGTTATCAGGTAATCCAGTTAAGAACAAAATCGTATCTATAGTGACTTCTTGGAGAAGCCATTTTACACAAAAATGCATTTACTGTTATATCATTTGAAGTACTGGGTGAGCCACCTGTTGACAAAAAAGTAAGTGGCAAATGAGTAAAGGCACGTATATCCTGTTCATCTGGATTGAGGTCATAATCATAATCACTTCATTTTTTAGCATAGGTGCACGGGCATGTCAATACATACCATTGTTCAGGAGGGGTTCAGTCATCATGTCCACATTGTGTCTGCGTGAAAGAAAAAAAATGTGCATTAATTTCTTCACGTAATATAGTGAGTTGGTCATTGAGTCATTTTTTTGCTGCTCAGGTGTTAACTGATGTGCGAACCATTAGCTGTTAGCCCTTCCCAACACTTATTGAAATGAATGAAAAACCAGATTTATACACTGGTGTGAATTAGATCTATTTTCTGGTTTAGTGTAAAATCAATCCATTGAATGTGGCATTTAGGAATACAGGTATCATAGTCTTATGTAAAAGTATCAGAATATGTATGGTTTTGTCTGAACATGTCATATTCAAGGACAAACCGTTATGTTACCTACGTTTCAGTTTGGGTTATTCTGTATTATTGTTTTTATCAGTGTCTCTTATGTCTCATAGTGTAATTGGTATTGATGGTTTGCAAGGACGTAATTTTAATTTAATGTGGTAATGTGGAACATGGAAATCCATTGTATTTTCGGATAGTTTACTTTTTATTAAGTTGGATGTGACTTATAACTTGAGGTCTGAGAACAGAAGAAAAAAAAATCTGTATTCTCTTCTGTTTATGTTTTTGCTAAAATACATAGTGGAAACCAGTTTTATTTTTTAGAGTTTAGATAGATAATACTTTATTAATCCCGTAGGGAAATTGATGAAGGCTTCTTGTCTATTATTGTAACAACTATTAGGCTTGTGCATGCATGTATCTGGGTTTTAATCAATGTTTCTTGGCTGTTTAATGCATAAGTCTTAAAGTTAATCTTTAAATGTTTTATATAGTAAGCAAAATTATAGGGTTCATTATTGAACACTGCATAGGACTGGTACATAAGACAGAGCAATTTGTTTGAATTTTTAAAGAGATTTACATTAGAAATGCTTTTGGATGGCATAGCTCTTATTTTATTTTTGTCTTGGTATGTTTTATGATATTTACAAAATACACTCAGGATGACTTAATTTACAGTGGTAGAAAGTGGAATCTTACAGGATTTTGTGAACTAGCGGTATGCCTTAAAATAGAAACCATTTTTAAGCAAACTTAAATTATGAAGTTATTAAAAATATAAATCTACTTGTTAATTTCTGGTTTAAAGGAAAAATAATTGATTTAAAAAAAAACTTGCATTTTAATGTGCTATGTCAGCTGGGCTGTAAGAACAAGAATTGATTTCTGCACTGCGGTTGGGAGACCAGTATATGTGACACAGATGGCTTGAAATTTCCTGTTACAAGAGGTGTTATCTAAGGAAAGGCAGATGATGCATATGGATAAGGCTTACTTCTCCTGGATTGGTTGGCTGACAGATCTGTTAGTGATTCAGTGTTTCTGGCTTGACCTGAAGAGGAAAACAAGGGGAGCTGCCTATCTCCATGATCCCGTGGAAGAAACTAAGGCTGATTTGCTGCCTGATTCTCTCGGCACTGGAGTGATTTTTTTAATACCTTTAGAGATGCTCATTTTAACCGAATGACCAAATTTTAACAAAATGTGGGATTTAATGGTACGACCGACCAAATGTAGCTACTGGGTTTTGACCTGCTACACTGTTTGTTTTAATAAGGAGCAGATATTTGACATAGAATGAGCTAGCTGAGTCCCGTGCAGGCTCTCTGTTCAGGTGGCAGCTTGGAAAAAACACTCTACCGTTGCAGCACTGTAAATGTAAACGATAGTTTTGTCATGCCCTTTAATTCTGTATTGGGGCATTTATGTGGTAGACATTTCCTAGATGCCTGCAAAACGTGGACTAGAAGGAAATCCTCCAAAGGAATGGGTATCTGGCCCATCCATATTGTGGCCTTTTCAAATAAGGGATCTCAGCTTATGATTTCTCCTTCCAGAAGATGAAATGCTTTCCCTGCAGTTTTTTGCAGGCATTTAAATCTTCCACTCCTGGAACAAGTACACTGATGTCAGCTTCATCCTTTGATCAAGGTATGAGAGCACACTTAATGGTTTTCTCAGAGCTTGACCATGTGGATCAATATGTGCTACCGGGCTACCCAATAAAGACAATGAAAGTGAGGGAAATATTAGAATGTCCATCAGAACTAACGTTGCTGTTTGTGATCGAAATAATGCATAATTTACTAGGTTTCATTAATCAAAATATCTCATTAATTTACTACAACATTGTAAAACATTGGGTTCAAAACTGTTTTTTAGGCTTTAAAGTGTGTAGGTTCATTTTAACATTTGCTAAAAAAAGCATTCAGTCAGTGAATAGAAGTAATTATTTTGTTCCCATAGTCTGAATGTGCTTACTCATTTAACACAGCATATATATTTAGCACAGGCTTTCTATTGCTGTCTCACGAATCATATAAGAGACTTTCCATTGTTTATTAATGATCGCTTTTTAGAATATGGATGTTGTCAAATATTAAGTTAACATATGAAATGATATTTCTATAAAGCAATAATGCTTAAAAAGGTTAACTTCCTGCTTGAAGATAAGACCACAGACTTGCTTTATAATTAATATGATTTAATATAGTTTTTAACAATCCATCACTAGACTTCAATTTTTCTTTTTGAATTTTTAATGTTTTTTTATTTTTCTGTAAAGGTTCTTTCACTTCAAGGAGCTTGTAAATATTAATGAAGAAATAATGAATTGTATCTCCAGGTGAAGGCTGCAAATGTCAGGCATGCTAGGGAAAAAACATTTTGCTGTTTAACTTAAACACTGTAAAGGAGACTTAACACAGGCATCAGAAGAGTTATCTAGAGTTCAGGTCTAAAAAAAGCCTTTTCTTCGTGTTTCCTGACTTAAACAATTGTAGACACTACTGCTGCGGAATGTGAGTACATAAAGAAAAAATAATCTGCTCTGTGTAGGCCTTTAAACAATGCAGGTAAGCACAATATAATATTCTAGACTGTAGAATTTTTTCTTAAACATTTTTAATTTGTATTATGATTGGATTAGCTAATCCTTTCAGAGAAGTTGTAAATTTGTGCCAGGGAATATTAGCTGTAATTAAGCCTTCTCATTTTGGGCTGGCTAAAGAAGCTTTGTTTTCCACCCTCAGACTGACCAAGATTTTGGATTCCTTCTGATATCTTTATATTTTTGTCAACTAAGGCTGCATTTGTTGTGTTAATTAAATCATTGCAATTGTTTGAATCCAAAATAGTGATTAGAAATAATATTGCATACTAACGACACGTAATAGTAGCTACACGTTAATGTTTTAACATATTTAGGTTACTATCCTACAGTATTTTGATATATGCTTCCCACTCTAGAACTTGTTCTCATTGTACATGTGGACAGTGTTCTATGTATTTTGTGATGGGTACATGTTTTTAGTCTTCCTTTGTAAAACTCAGTAGTTGGCTATTTTATATAATTGTCCTTTTAAAAGTTATGCCCTGGATTTCAGCAGTATTCAGTGATTGGGTTAAATGGCTGTCACACATCAAAGGACATTCCAGGTCAGCTTAATTTCTTTGTGTAAAAAGGTAGAGATAAAGCCACAATTAAAAAAAATCAACTTTTAAAAGAAAATCTGTAACATGCATGAATACTTCTTAAAAAGGGCACATAAAGTATATTTAATCTGTGGTCCGCTGCTTCTGATACATATATAAGTTTAATTTTAAATTAAGGGAGCCCTGCCTCTCAAAGCAAATCTGTTCTCGACTCACCAGGTGTGCTTTTATATATGAAGTCCATAGCCTTTTAACTCTGCTCCTTTCTACGTTTTTCAACATTATTCTCTGAGAGGCATGAGAATAGATGTGAACAGAAAAGCCTTTTTTTTTACAGTCCTGAAAATTAGAAGCAGAGAATATTTATAGTAATTGAACAGCTTTGATTCATGGGACACTGAATGTCTGGGGGAGACACGGCATCCAAGTGTCCAGAAGAATGTCAAAAACAGTATCTGCGCTTGAAACTACGATAACAATGGTCACCAGTGTTGAAGAGCAGTGAAAGAGCATTGTTAACACATTCATTTTAAAGAGCTCATTTGCATTAAAGTCGACATCATATTAATTAGTTCTACTTCTTATTGTTGAGTCTTAAGTTCTCAATCATAATTTTCTTGAGGGCAGTAGTTATTGGTGCCACAGTTAATATATAAATTATTGATCTGTCCTAAATTTCCTAAACATTATTAATTCACAAAAAATAATCAAATTAAATCCCGGTTTGAAGTCTCCAGTTTCCCTGTTTGGGGGTCCATGTGAAAGTGCTTTTCCTTTAGTGCTAGTATGGGAGGTGATCAGAACGTACACTACTAGAGCATCTTTTGGGTTTGTGCATTAGACAAGCCAAATCGAAAGAAGCCTTATTGCAGCACATTTGTTGTGATTTGAAGTGTTTTTCTGCAATTATAGAGAACTGGATGCTCTGTAAAATGGTGAACTAAAAACATTCAAGTGCTTCCAGTACTTTGTCTAATTGGCTGGTTGTGCCAACAGCACGTGTCTCAAGTTTTTATTGCTCCTGCTCTTAATATCAGAATAGTTAAACTGTCCAGGCTTAACCCAGGACTTGCTGAATTCTTTATGCTTTTGAATAAGAATATATACATTTTTAGAATCAGATGTACTGACTTGAATTAAAATTGTGTTTAAGGGGTATTTATAAAATTAGTTGCTTACTGGCGAGTGTTTTTCCATAAAAGTGCCATGAACAAAACCTATTTCACATTGTGAGAGATTTTAACAGTTAATTCAATATTACATTTCTTATGTTCTTTCAAAATTTGAATTTGTATTTGAATAACATGGTGATATATAAACAAGTTAAATGTAGTACAGTAGATGAATTTATTCTGTGACGCATTATGTTTTTGTTACGCCCCCGTGCGTGTCCATGTTTTTGTTTTTTTCCCCCGCTTTATGTATTCAGGTACCCCTCCCCATTGGTCCATCATTACACCATTGTTTCCGTATTACATCATCATCAATCAGCTTCTCAGCCAATCACAACTCAAATTCTTCAGTATTTAACTATGAGGTTTTCCAGATGAAAGGGCCTTTCGCTCAACTTCGGTTCTGCTCAGCTTTGCTATTGCCTTGCCTCAGCTTCTCTTCGTTTTCGTTTGTTTCGCTTTGTGTGTATTTCCGTATAGCTTCAGCTTTGTTGGTTTGTGTTCGTCTCCTCGTACTTTTGTTGGTTTGTATTTTCCTTTATTTCGCCATTACCTTGCCCAAACGTGTCATATCAACCTCTGTGCTCTTTAGTACCCTATTCTTTGTATCTACTCTTGTTTTCCCTTGTTTGTATTCGTGGTACACTTGTGTATTTGTGTGGAATTTTGTGTAAAGGGTTAGTTAAGGTTGTCAGGTACATTGTGCACATGTAGTTGGTCTTTGTATTAGTAACACTAGTTTAGGACAGGTGAGTGCCTTTTGTCTTGTGTGGTTTTGAGTAGTTAGTGAAGGTTAACCAGGGCGTTTGAAGACGCCGAAGACCGAGTGTTTTAGGTTTTGATAGTTAGGTCGGCTTCCCCTCACTTTATTAGCCAGCTCCATTTTGTTTTTCTTTCCTTTGGCACCGCTCTAGTTCCTTTTCCTTGTGTGTTATTGTGTCTTATGTACGTACCAGTCACTTGTTCACTTTAAAATAAATCCCTTTTGCACCAAACTTGACCGCATCCTAAGTCCCTCACCAGAAATCCACCCGCATCCAAATCCATCCTAAATGTTACACCCCTTTACTCCTAGACACTTGGGGTCGTAACAGTTTTGCTTGATTTTGACTTTAACTAATGAACAACCATAGATCAGATAGAAATGACTTATTTTCACTTATTGTAATGTTGGAGACATGCAGTGTGGGTGCATGTATTTTTTTTCCCCTGTTATATTAAAGAGTACATGTTCAACTAAATAGGTTTTGGTTAGTCAGAGCTGATCTTTTAGGTCCGATCTTTACTCTGGGGGTTCTTGGATTGATTATTTTTAAAGTCAGATACAGTGCAAAGTGTAAACATTTCTCATTAAAGTTGTGTGTGCATCGTAGAACAACATAATTGCTGGTCAGGATGGTTATGAAATTTCTGTTGTATTTGAAACTCTGTTTTGAGACTGGTGAGTATCTGGTTTGACAGCGGGGTTATTCCAAAGGAAATCTGTTGAATACTAGACAAATTTGTGCTTCACCATCTTTATTTTTCATAAAGTTTTATACATGTATGGAGTGAAATGATGAATGAAAGTTAAATGAAGTTTGATTGAAGACATTTTGTTCGTGAGTTAAAACCCTTCAAAGGTGACCTGGTTTTGTCTGCTCTAACAAACATTACCAGTGCCTTTATTTGGATTTGTCAGTGTTTTAAAGCTTATAAATAGAATAGTGCTGTCATTCTGTTAATGTGTATGTAGAATTTAAAAAGCTTATGATTTTGGGGCCCTTGCCTTCACCAAGATCAAATCACATATCCTTAAATTTTTGGTAAGCTTTATATGTATTGTGCACTACATCCTACATCTACGTTTCCTGCAGGTTTCATTTTGTGTCCATTGTTCACGGCACAGCACACAGTTGCATAAGAAAGTTTGCAAACAGAAGACCATTCGACCATATCCATTTTATTTCTGACAGCATGGGTACCAGACACCCACCACCCTCAGTGTAAAGATGTGTCTCCTGTTCTTGGTTTTAAATGTACATCCCCTTTGTTTTTCTTTGTGCTCTAGATCTTGCTTCAATGATGTCCATAGAGTTGACTCTGACAAGTATTACAAAGGATTAGGTGAAATGTCTTAAGGAAGCATGTGCACAACAATTTCACATAAACTAATATTTATTATATGTCATTGGTTCTCAAACTTTTTGGACAAAGTACCACCCCTGATTAACCCAAAGCATCCAAGTATAGGATGCTATACTTCGAACCACAGAAAATCTCAATGACCAACATGAGCACGTGCGCACACACACACACCTAATAAAAATAGCACTGAGCACTTACCATTTTAGTGAGAAGGGGGGGCCTATTTAGTCGAGCAAAGCCTTGCAATGTCAGGGACGAGGGCAGTGAGCTTCAAATGCAGATCTGGCTCAGCATCCATTTTGTTGTTGCAATACTTTGTCTTGATTACATTGAGAGCAGAGAAGCCTTTCTCACAAAGGTAGGTAGTAGCAAAAAGCATCACAAACCGCACAGCCTTTAATGAGAGGGCTAGGTATTCACTCTGTCTTTGGATCCAAAACTCCAACAGTGACTGTCGTTTCAATTCTGACAAAAAAAACTCCCATCAGATGATAACTCGAGTAGGTTCTCTTGTTCAGCACAGGTCAGATCCTTGGGTATTCCTACAACATCAACAGTAAAGGGGTTCCTAATCCACTCTGGTGTGACCTCAACTGGAAAATACTCTGAGAACTGTTCTTCCAATGACCAGAGGTGCACTGCAATCACGTCATGAACAGTAGCATCAAGTGCCACAGCATATGTGTGCAGATCTCCAAAGTTGGAAAAGCAGAGATATCACTTGTGTTGATTTTATTAACAAAAAGCTGCAGATTTTTCTTCATAGCAGTGATCTTGTCAGACACGTCAAAAATTATTAAAGAGAGCCCCTGCAGTCCCATATTCAGCTCATTCAAACGTGAATATATCATCCAGGTTGGCTAATTTTACCAGCTACACTAGATCGTCAAATAGACTTACCAAGAGAGATTGCTGGTCATGGAAAAACATCTGTACCTCAGAGTGCGGTTCAAAGAGCCTCGTGAGCACTTTGCCTCTTGATAACCATCTTGCTTCAGTATGTAGCAAAAGTTGCATGGGTTCCCTGCCCATTTCATTACAAAGCACACTGAACAGACTTGAATTCATTGGTCGAGCCTTGATAGAATTCACAACTTTGACAGCAGAGTCTAACACAGATTTTAAATCCTCAGGCATTTTCTTGGCTGCCAAGGCCTCGCGGTGGATGCTAAAGTGCATCCACTTCATATCTGGTGCAGCCTCTCTAATTTGTGCAACTACACCACTGTGTCTGCCTGTCATCCCTCTAGTCTGTACAAACTCCAATGCATTTTTTGCAGTCAATGCCAATCTCTTCGATAAATTCATTCAGAAGCCGAAATATGTGCTCTCCTGTAGTTCTTGTTGGTAGCGGCTTTCAGAACAGAAAGTCCTCATGGGACATACCCTCAAACTCATATCTAACGTAAACGAGCAAATTGGCCAAATAATCTACAAACTTATCAAATTGCAGTGAAAAGCATCTGCTCATCTTAATGTCAGCGTGTGTTTGACATCATCTGCCTTATCAATAATTCTACGAGTGACTGTCATTCGAATGGGCCACCAGGTCGAGCTGTTGAGCAGCCTTTTCTCCACACATAATACGTCAGCTCTTTTGCCAACGGTTAACAAAGTTCTTCACCAATAGTGTGGGTCTTACCTGCTTTAGCAGTCCGCATGGTAAGATGCTTCTTGGGCTTTGGAAACTAGAATGACACTGTGCCTTATGGTGGACTTGCGCTGCTTCAGATCTTTAACTTTCCTTTGAAAAAACTCAACAGGCTTATCCTACAAGAGCATGTTTCGTGGTAAAGTGCCGCCTCGGATATTCTGGCTTCATGCTTTCATTGCTGAGAATCTCACAGCATATGACACACTGTGGTCTTGGCTCTTCCTCCGTCCCGGTGTAAGTAAAACCCAAACAGTATCGGATTGCCTTGTAGCCGTTTTCCGACACTTGCTAACACTAGCAGGTTCAGCAGCAGAGCTAGTGCCGGTGGCCGATTATATAATCCTCCTTGTTTTCAACAGTTGTGCGTGAGCTTTCGGAGATGACATCATTACTCTTGATGTCTATTCCTTTCAGCAATGACATAATTGATTTTTGCGAGGTATTCATTTTCAATCAGTTGTTCTGTTGGCGAATGTGGTGCTGTTGGAGACATTTTTCTTTTTCCCCTTAAAATGCAGCCAGGAGTCCGTCTCAGAAGTTAAAAAGTTTTTATTTAATGTGCATGGGAGCGAAACAGAGATGCTCAGTGTATTTTTCTCAAACTAACCTAGAACATGAAACATTTTCCTGTTATCCATCATGCTTTCCTGTGCCTGCTAGATTGGCAGTGTTTCAAAATCACGCAGATTCTCTTACCTCCCTATTTGCTAGAGATAACTTTTTTTAAAATATAATTGGCCACTTACGTTCGTAGCACACATTCCTATACAATGGTATAGAATTACAAAGCTCTTGTGTCCACTCAAGTATTAGCGCACTGTATCATCGTAGCAAAGTACATAGGCTTTGTATTTGAAACATAAACTGATTTTATTAAAATAGAAAATATGAAAACCTGTACCAATTTTTCAGTGCACATAACAAATGTCCAGGGTCATCTGGTGTACCACCTGGGGGCGCATATGTGTATGCAGGGCTGTTAAAATGAAATTGGAACAGCAGTCCTAATTTCTCAGACCGATTATTACATTTCGGTAACAAAATAAGTTAATTGACATCATATATAATAATTTTACTAATTTCAAATTAAGCACAATATCATGAACTTTGTGAAAGTAATGTAAGTCGCCATTTTGCCACAAACTTGCGTGCAAGTTCCCACGAATTGTGACGCGATGCGGAACTTCCTTTCCTTCCTCCATCTTGCAAGACAGGTGTAACATGAGCAGCGTAAGGGCTAATGTTGTGTTGTGGTCAAGTCACGTGAGGGTGAACCTGTAGCAAGTATGGTCCCGGATCTTGATGACTGAATTCAGCTCTGTGCTGTGCCTTAAGTAAAATGGAAATATAAATGTAGGGTATAATATATAAATATAAATCTAGGTTACAAAATTTGGCATGGCTGGGGTTACACGATTATCACAGTTTTAGTAGATTTCATGGTTTCCTGATATTCATCCTACTGTCAATTAAGGTATATTACGTCACTCATCCTGCATCAGCCCATTTCCTGAAGTGAGTCACTGCCAACCCAGGTCAGCCCGCTCACACTCAAGGTCAAAGCTCTTCTGTGAAAGGGGCAATAAACAGTCACCTGGTTATGGCTCTTTTGTAAATGTCCTGAGAACTACCAGATATTGGATTTTGAATTTGCAATTGCCAGGTGGTGTAACGTTTTTGTTTGATCCCTCAGAAGCAGGCACATTTTTGATGTGAAAGGTACTTAAAATTAAAACCTGTTACTGTAGTATATTTTCAAGACATCTTAAGTATGTTTTCTTTTGCTTTGTTTTTGCAGCTGACATTATTTCAACAGTTGAATTCAACTACTCTGGAGACTTGCTAGCTACTGGAGACAAAGGAGGACGAGTTGTCATATTTCAGAGGGAGCAGGAGGTCAGATGTTTGAAGATTTTATATTTAATACATGACGTAATGAGTAAAAATAAATAAGCAATTAAAACTAAAAAATGCCTTAAAAAGAATTAATTGTAGCTTTTGTTAATTTGCCTAAACACAGAACTGTTTCATTTTAATACTCTTTAGTTTATTTTGTTCTTCTATTTTTAGTTCACTAATCAGGATTCTTTTGGAAGAGAAGAAACTTTGCTCAGCTTCTTACAGTTGTAGACATTTAAATTATTTCACTGTTGTAGTTAATGTGTTTACTCTTTTTTTCAGAGTAAAAACCGACCTCACTCAAGAGGCGAATATAATGTTTACAGTACTTTTCAGAGTCATGAACCTGAGTTTGACTATTTGAAGAGTTTAGAAATTGAGGAAAAAATTAACAAAATTAGATGGCTACCCCAACAAAATGCTGCTCATTTCCTGCTCTCTACAAATGGTAAGAGCTGAAACTTAATCTTTGATTGTTTGGAAATTGATGACTAAGAATTCTGTCAACTTTAGTTAGCAGTCTTAAAACCATAAATCTCTCTTGTTAAATGCATTTATTGTGTGGAAATATTGCTAATGTTGCTTCTGTTTCTTATTGATTATAGTTTGTAAAATAACCACAGTATGTTAATGTCCCAGTTTATGAAGACTTTTATTAAACACTCTTTCAGATAAAACTATTAAACTGTGGAAAATAAGTGAAAGGGACAAAAGGGCAGAGGGCTACAACTTAAAAGATGAAGACGGAAGACTGAGAGATCCTTTCAGAATCACATCACTACGGGTTTGTGTGCCTTGTATTGCAGTGCAGAGTACTCCAGTCTATTTTGCTTAACTGTTCTGCGATTTTGTTTCCTGCCCTTTCTTCTGAGCTAGAAAACTTACATTAGTACATGTTCATTCTGTGGGACCACTTGAACTGAAATATTTTCTTTTGCAGGTACCTGTTTTGAAGCCCATGGACTTGATGGTAGAAGCAAGTCCTCGAAGAATTTTTGCAAATGCTCACACATATCACATTAACTCCATTTCAGTAAATAGTGATCATGAAACCTACCTTTCTGCAGATGACTTAAGAATAAATCTATGGCACTTAGAAATCACAGATAGAAGTTTTAGTATCCTTTTTTGTGGTTGGCAAATCTGCATATGGTTTTTAAGGAAAGTGTGATATAATGAATGTCTTTTTCTTATTCTTTAAAAAGTGGGACTCCGGAAACTAGGAATAGTCACATGTAAAATATAATATCTTAAGGATAGCTTAATGCTAATGCCTTTTTTTATGTTTATCAGAATATTGTAGAGAGACTTCTTATTTCAGTAGCCTGTGGGAACTGCACTTCATTGGTGAATAAGTGGGCTCTTTCGTATGTTTTGGGATAAGATGTTTTTTATTATGACTCGACACAAACTGGCATTCTCTTGTAAAAAATAACTTTGTTTGCAGGTGTGTTTATGTTGTGTTAAAGCAGAAATTAAAATGATCATGCCATAACATTTATTTTGTTAGGAAAATGTTTCGTAAACACCAGTTTAAACAGTTGTGTGTTCTCTATGGAAGATTAATTAAACATTACATTACTGACAGGGATAAATTACAGTAACATTAATTATTAGCAGGAGTCAGGCTTCCTTATCCCTTTTCACTCATTTTTCTTACTCCAGTGAGACGAGACAAAAGTTCTGTAAATTCTTATATCTAGAAAATATATTTTACAATTTGCAGTTAGTTTATGATATTTACACTACCGAGACAATCAGAATAAATGAAATTGGAATAATCTGATGTGATTGATAAATGTCGGCTATTGCTATCAAGCAAAGAAAATCATTGGTATGCTTCTAGTTTTAATTTTGAATAGGTTTGTAATTTTGTGCCCTGCCATTTTGTGATAATTATAGTCCTTCATATGAGAAAATCAGACATTGTAGATATAAAACCTGCCAACATGGAAGAATTGACAGAAGTCATTACAGCGGCAGAGTGTCACCCACATCACTGTAATGTATTTGTGTACAGCAGTAGCAAAGGAACTATACGGTTATGTGACATGCGTGCAGCAGCCCTCTGTGACAGACACACAAAGTGTAAGTATCTAATAATTGTGGTATATAAATGCTTACATAGCAGCCTTTTTTGTATATGAGTTGCTTCTTTCATAACCCTTGGCCATCGTAGTAATGGTATTGCACGACTGAAGTTTTTTGTTAATATTGTAAGATTTTGAAATCCTATTGTATTGTAAGATTTTGAAAATCTGTTTCATCCAAATTTGGATTAGAAACCTCAGGTGAAAATTTAATATATAGTAGCATGTTATTGGTTTTGCAAAACTGTAAATAAACGTGTATAAGACTTTTTGTTTCCAGGCATTCATATAAGTGAAACTAGGTATGAGAAGGAAAAAAAGTTTTACCTCAGAAATCTACATTGCCAGTCAGCTTTTGTTCATCTGCAGGAACATTCTTACAGGGCTTTATCTGAAGCATAGTGCTTGAGACATTTATAAAGTTCTTGAAATATTAAATTTATTGCTGTATGTCTTTACTTGCAAATATCTGCTAAAGGTCTATAACGTTTAAGAATCTCTTTCCTTTCTCTTTAGTTTTTGAGGAGCCTGAAGATCCAAGTAGCAGATCTTTCTTTTCAGAAATCATCTCCTCAATATCTGATGTTAAGTTCAGTCACAGTGGCCGTTACATGATGACAAGAGACTATCTCTCAGTCAAGGTGTGGGATCTCAACATGGAAAATCGACCAGTAGAAACTTACCAGGTTTGTTAAATTGCCGTGCAATATGCTGATCCCAGGGTATATCTGTACATCAATCATGTGTATTTTAAGTTTGTGAATGTTAATAAAATATATAATACATTATAATATTATGTTAATCAGTTTAGTACATCTCTTTTGAAAACTACAACTATCATTTTTTCATTTAACTTTTTGCTTTCCATGTTTTAGATGTCAATGTTTTTTCCTAAGTATACAATGAGTGCACATTTACATACTGAAAGCTTTCTTGATCATATATTCTATGACTATATAATTCCAGAATTTCACCAAAGAATGTAACTGTATCAAGATTTCAAAGAAGGGTTTTGTGTTTTACAAATTCTTAGAGTAACTTAGAAAGCTACAAAGCAGGGTATTTTAAATGCTTCATGTTCCCTTCCTGATCATTCCCCCGTTACCTTTCCCTCCCCTTTTGAGTTTTTAGCCTATATTGTTTTGTAAATTCCTATAGAGAATCTATATAAAATACTAATTCAAATATGAAAGACTGATTTCTATATAGATTACTAGGCAACAGTGATCCTTTCACATTTTTGCCTCATAAGGTTTTATCTTTGTTAAAAGCTTTTTGTTTTTATTACAGGTGCATGAATACCTTCGTAGCAAGCTGTGTTCATTGTACGAAAATGACTGCATTTTTGACAAATTTGAGTGCTGCTGGAATGGTACTGATAGGTAAGCTGTGCATCTGAATAGATGAACGTGGACAAAGACATACTATGAATATAAATATTAGGCTGCTCATTTTGTTTCTACGTGTAATGAATGACAAGGCATCCTGTGCTCAAAAGGACCCGGAACCATTTCACAGATTTCTTTTGAATCTAAATCCATTCTTAAGCAATTTTGGAGTAAATAGAAGAAAGGTGAAATTTTGCACCTTCCTAATTTGCTTTATTGTAGTAATATCTAGCGGTGCAATCATATTTATCACAATAAATGGATCAGAAGGATTAGAATGGAACAATTCAATTTTCCTCTTCCGTGCACTTAATCAAAGGTTCACTTTAATATTTGAAATAGCAAAGAAGGATATTATTATTATTATTATTATTATTAAATATTTTTTTTCCTCCTTGTAGTGCTATTATGACTGGCTCCTACAATAACTTCTTCAGAATGTTTGATAGAAACACCAGGAGGGACATCACGCTTGAAGCATCCAGAGAAAGCAGCAAACCACGTGCCATGTTGAAGCCACGCAAAGTGTGCACAGGTGGTAAGAGGAAGAAAGATGAGATAAGTGTTGACAGTCTGGACTTCAACAAGAAGATTCTCCACACAGCCTGGCATCCGAAAGAAAACATCATTGCAGTAGCAGCCACCAACAACCTGTATATATTCCAGGACAAAATCAATTAAGAATGGCTGTTGTTTGAGGGCAAAGTCTTGTTCTTGCATAGTTAAGCCTAGTTGTTTATCTGTAAAAGAAACGGCCTTCTTGTCCTCCTAGTGAAGAATTTGATGCACTCATCTCCTTGTTTAGCAGATGGAGAAAAGAGGGCCTGTTTCTTTGAGTCAGTGGTGTATTAAGCCTTCAGTGGGAGGGCACAATCAAGGGTTCTCTAACCAAGAGAGGGCCAAAAGAAGCAGAATTGATGGACAGCACTCAGTAGAGGCCAAATGCTCAAAACATAGTGTATTTATTTAAGTCTGAGCCTTTTATGATTTATTGACCAAATTATGGAACACCCAAGGAATGACATTTTGTCAAACTTGTAGTCTCTTTACTGTAATTTTGGGCCTTTTTTTAAAAAGAAATTTTGCTTGATGATGCCTGTTAACATTCCTCCCCTGGCCTTCCTTCAAGGCTCTGGTGTTTTACATTTTAAGCACTTACAAGAGGTCTCGAGTTTGGTCAGTGGACAGGTTTTTTTTTCTTTTTTCATGCATAGTAACATTTACTCACTGACTGTATCTATATAACCACACCATTTGGTGTCAACCACTTAATAAAAGTAACAAAACCTTTAAAGAGATGTGTTTTTAAATTTTGAAAATATGTAATAAATTCTTATGTTCTCTTTTATTGCTTTGCATGTATTGACATTGTGGATTCAAATTACAATGGAGGGGGGAAGGCAAAACAAGTTACCCCACTGGCTATTTCAGTAGCATGATTAGGGAGGACAAAATCTGAAGTACTTGAAGCTGCAGAAATACCATCGGAAGCTGGTTGTCAGTCGTGTTAATTGTAAAAATAACTGTACATATATCATTAGTTCCAAATAATGGTGTAGGCTGATACCACAATAGAAAGCAATAGGCAGTAATAAAAAGGGAACCTGCAGCCTTAATACCTTTCGTAATGTCTTGCTAATAAATTTTAAAGAATACCTGTAATAACCATAACGTTACATGTCCAGTTGCACCCAAAATGTTTTACTAAGTACCATACCTTATGTGCATTATTTTTTAATAACTTTTTTTTAACATTATCTCCTCTCAGAACATTATATTGCTGCTATTAGTGGCTCTACGTTTGTCAAAATGACAGTCAAGATTCTACAATCGACAGTAATGCAGGTAGTACACACTAAGATATAAAATATTATTGTAAGTGCTGAGTGCCTCCCTTTCAGAGAAGCTGGAAAATAGATTACCATTCTGTTAATAAAAATAGGCATTACATTGTCACTAATACAAAATGGAATGTTAGAGCAAGGATCAATAAATGCCCCTTATTTTCCAGTGGGATGCCACTTTGGTTAGCATTGTGCATTGCAAACACTTAAGTTAAAAAAATTAAGGGTGAACAGTACAAGTAAGTTATCAATATATTGTATATTGGTTGTGACACTATTTTTAAAATCAGGAACTTTCTGGTCATTTAAGCATTCAGTCTGACCTTGTTCCCTGTTGAATAATGATGCTAACATGGTGGAATTGTATACACTTGTTTGATTTTTTTGACCAAAGTTAAATAAATTTTAATTGTGTTTACCTGAATTAGAACTGTTTATTCTACCAACTTGAACACCCATTTGGTTGGATTTAATTACATGGGTAAAATCGACTTTTCTTGGCAGTTCAGATGAATGCCGTTTGCAATTTTAAATGTTTTTCTTTGCGAACTGTTATTTTATACCACAAAGCCATATGTATTAACTCATGTTACTACAGACCTCTTTACTTTTGACCACCTTAACAAACAAATCTGTTATGACAGCATGTTTTAATTCTCTTAGTTCAAAAATGAATCTTGCAGAATTATGTACCTGTTTTTTTTTTTAATTCCTTTTAATGACAAAATTAAAAACTATTATGGTTATGGGATAATAAAGGTATTTGTACATTCCAAGGAGTAAACCATTTTTGTGCATTTAAATGTCAGTACATTTGTCAAAATATAAATACCTCACTGTCAGTATTTCAGTTTTGACCAATGGAAATGAATATGTGGTGAAGTTAAGTCTGAATTCTGAATTTCAGAATATGGCGCTGCACATACCTGGAAATCTCGGTTTTGTGATGTAAAACCTCACTTCCTCAATTTACAAGTTACTGTATACATTTTACTTTTAGTGTGGTTTGAAGTGCACTCTTCAGTGCTGATTCTTTCTATCCTGCAAAATATAAAAAGTGTTGCAGTTCCACTTTAAAATAGCTGTCTGTCACTATTTTGGGACCTTCAAATGTCACTGACTTATTGCCGTTTGAAAGAATCTGACATCATAACATGTATATACTGTATAAGACCATGAATAGGATTTTACTTTCATTTTGATTTTCCTATTATGTAATTTTGAAAGCATATCTGCACAAATATGCATTTTTTATAAGGTGGGATAGGAATTAGTAACTCCTGACTGGTAAATCATTTTTACACCACTTTACAACAATATAAATGTTAATATTACAGATGTTGCAGGACCCCTTGGGCTGTAAAACCTGCTTCACCTGTATCAAATATTGATAGTATTAAATACATTAAGTATATGTAGGTCTTGGAAGAAAAGTCTAAGCTTTTAGATTAGTTTTTAAGTTAGCTCAGTTGGTTAGAGCGTGGTGCTAATAACACCAAGGTCGCAGGTTCGATCCCTGTACGGGCCAGTTGTCTGATTTGCTTTTTGGGGCAGAGCGGTGGCTCTGTGGCTAAGGATCTGCGCCAGTGGCTGTAAGGTTGCCAGTTCAAAACTTACGGCCGGCAGAGGAATGCTACTCTGTTGGCCCCCTGAGCAAGGCCCTTAACCCCAACTGCTCCAGAGGCGCTGTATAAATGGCTGACCCTGCGCTTCTCTCCCTGTCTGTCTCTCTCATGGAGAGCAAGTTGGGGCATGCAAAAAGACAGATTCCTAATGCAAGAAATTGTATATGGCTATTAAAGTGATCTGATCTTCTTACCTGAAAACCATTCAGCTGTTCAGAAGAAGGTAGAAAAAGTCCGGCCGAAAACATCACTATGATTACTTTCCTGACTTTTAAGCCTTCCACTGCCTGTCCCAGCTCCAAAAAATTTAAATGTGCTTAAATGAGAAAATCAAAAAAATATTTCCTTTTGCCCTCGTAGGTCATAAAAATGCAAAGGTATTATAAGCATGGTTTGTTAGTTTCTTTTTGATATTTAAGTCAAAGTTTACAATGACAGCAAGCAGTTTAATAGTCACATAAAATAAAACTTAAGAATCACATTTTACAAAGTTCATAATACAAAACTGCTGTAAACATGTTAGTCATCAGAAATTTTTATTCATCTTCTAAAACAAAACATGCATTAAATACACTGGATTTTAAGAAGTTTTGTGCCATCACCATATATTAACAGTCAAAACATCTGCATATGCAGCTGGTTTTAGTTAAAACCCCAAAACACAGGACAAATAGGTTGATTCCTGTCATTTTTAAAAGTCAGGTCCAACAATCTCACTGCATAACTGGCATTGATTACTACATAAGGCTATCTTTAGAACAACACCAACAACATAAATACAATTTCTATTAGTCAAACACAAAGCATAAATAAAACAAACATTTCTGGTCACAGATGAATCTATTATTAGTCTTTGGAGAAATATTTTCAACCGAAAGTGCATACTGTCCTGTACTACTAACTTTTTCCACATTTAGTGCAGAAAGCATAACAGCTCTTTAAAACTGCAATTTGCTAAAACAAAAACTAACCAATGATGCTAATGTGTTAACAACAGCCAAAACACAAGACACAGCAGACACAAAAACACAAGTGTCTGGTAGCTTGGCCTTGACCACCATGGGGATCCTGATACAAATGATTATTTTGAATGCAGATATGGATTACTCAGAGATGAAACTAATGCCTGGACATTAGTTACTCCATTGTTTTTAAAGGCATTCATTTATTATGATAGGCTTTTTATTTTTTTCTGCAGGTATTCACATAAAATGCTATTTTTACTTCTATACCTTTGGTTTTGAAGTGTTTAATTAAAAATGCAATCAAAACATTTAACCTTAAAGTTAAAGCATAAACATGAAAGCATCAAAAACTTGTGTTTCAAAAACATGAACCACTGTTTTGTGGTTCATTTGCAAGACATATTTAGCTTTTAAGATTACCTTTTGGCCAAAACACAATATGCTTAAAAGTTTTACACAGAATTAGTCAATAACCAAAAAAGACTTATCCCACTATTCTATCTCCTGCATATAAATTACTTTTTCTTAGCAATACTATCTATTTGCTGTAAAATGATGTTGACTTTAAAACGATTGACATTACACATAGTGGCCATATGGTCTTTTTTCCATGTCTCTCAAGGTGTTAGTCCTATGATATTTACATTCAGAAGAAAAGCAGGAAACTACAAATACTTCCAGTTTTATGTAACCAGTCTGATATAACGTACAAATCTTAGACTATGGTACTACTGGAACAATACAAAAGAATACAGAATGTATCGCTTTCTTTAAATCTCTTATTTTGTAACATTACTGTAGTCAGTTACAATAGAAAACTGAGTCCTTATATCTTTCAAGAAAACAGGTTCTCTATATTTTAATATCAATCTAAAAACATGAATTTAGGAACATTGTTTTCAGAGAAAAGTTTTAATTTTCCTCCAACAAATAGCTCAATTTCCATCAGTTTATTTTTTCCTTTACTTTTTCCCTATGTTTAAACATCAGAAATTATCACAGTTATAACTGTTCATCTTAAAATCAGATAAAACTGGTATTATTAATATAATTAAATTTATTTGGATGATGCTTTTTCCCAAAGCAATTTATATTTATACAGCATTGCACTCTACTGAAGCAATCTATGTGATGTATCTTGTTCAGGGGTACAATAATAGTGCACTAGCTGGGATAACTTCCAGTTATGAGTCCTGAGCCCTGACAATTACCCCCTTCTGCTGCCCAATACCTTTGTGCTTAACAGTAATGAATCTTATTCTTGCTAAAACACTAAGATTTTTTATATCAGTTTTGAAATCTGCTGAAAAAAATACATATTTGTTTTATGTAAAATCATGGCAATTGACAATTACTTTCTGGCTTTTGTGATTCAAAACAGCTTCCTGAATTTAGCAAATGGTATCCATAAGAGACAGAAGCGGTGCAGCACTCAGAAAATACGATAAAGCAAGTCACTAGGTTTTCTTTTTACCTGCATCTACAAAGCAACACACTGAGGCATGCCATGTTTTTAATGGTAACGATGACAGAAGTCTTGCAGTATCTTATTAGAAGGTGCTTGTAGAGGTTGTTAGACGCCTTCCAATGTAGATCCTTAAACAGATATGGAAAGAGTGGAACATACATATAATTACTACTTTTCTTTTTGTCCATCTATCAAGTTAGGGCCGAAATGAACAAATTAAATTTCTAACATATTTACCAATACCACCAAGTTCTAAAAATGTAAGAGATGTTCTGCACAAATCATAAATTACTATTCAACTTTGACAGAACAATACAATTACTGCTATTATATTTTAATAAAACAGTATTAAGACTTAGAAAGAATTCAAAGTTTAACAATAAGAATGATTCCTGGTCTCAGAAGATGCTATAGAGACAGGTTATAGGAAGATAAGTTATGAACAAAGGAGATTGAGAGATTTGACACAAATATTAAAGATCTTAAGGGATAAACATATGGTTAACTATATGTATACTATATATATAGAAAACACAAAGTTACAATTGGAAAATAAGAGAAAATGCATTTAGTATGGAGAAATGGAATCACTTACACAAAGAGTTGAAGACATTTGGAAAGGGTTTCCCAGCCCCAAATTCTGTGTACTTTAAAGAAACGGCTATATAAAAGTTTAGCTTTACTTAGATGCTAATCTACCAGATTAACAAGATGAGCGAAATTTGCCTCTTCTCATTTGTAACATTTTTTATGTTCTTTATCTTAGCTGAACATATTTAAGAATAAAGAGGTACATGTAGTTCACTTACCCAAGACCCACGGCGAGTATGTGAGAGAGAAACAAGGATGGCAGGAAAACTTTCAGAAACTCTGCTGAAAATATTCCCCCCTTCTTCATTACACTCGTGTTCCTCATACTAAGTGTGGCAGACCGTTTAGGGTGCTTAAACAGGAATTCCCTGTTTAAAGAATATACCACAAAAGAAAGCATTACAAAATCATACTTTTCACAAGATACTAAGTTTTCTTAAGCCAACAGCACTCTCCTAACTGTCAGTTTCAGCCACATCTCTTGCTTAATGATACAGTACAAAAAGAGTGCATTACCTTGCTTAAGTACAAACAGTTATTTTCAAGGTATTTCCTTACAGCATCCAGGTGATAAGAATTAAGACCCACAGACATTTCCTGAATAACTTTAGCATCCCAAACTCTCTGAACACAGGTAATTTACATTTACAGTATTCTTAGTTGAATGATGCAAAGAGTCAGCTAAACAAAGTTTGGTCTTTTCACCACATAAATGTGATTAGAATCAATATCTTTACAGGAACAGGCCATAGGTACGGACTTTGGTGGAGCGTTTTCTGGTCGACTTGACCAGTCCCAGATCCAGTCAGCATTTTTCTTCATTATATTTTCTACTTCTCTTCTTCTTTCAAGGTAATCCTCTTCAGACTAAAATTAAAAAATAAAATTGTCACAGCTGGGAATGTCACTCCTGAACATATACAATACATTTTGCATATGCAACAAGAAATGCGACATTAGTTTTAGTACAGCTATTAATTAATAATTGCTTACACTTATATAGCGCTTTTCTGGGCACTCCACTCAAAAGCGCTTTACAGGTAATGGGGACTCCCCTCCACCACCACCAATGTGCAGCATCCACCTGGATGATGCGACGGCAGCCATAGTGCACCAGAACACTCACCACACATCAGCTATCAGTGGGAGGGAGAGCAGAGTAATGAAGCCAATTCATAGAGGGGGATTATTAGGAGGCCATGATTGGTAAAGGCCAATGGGAAATTTAGCCAAGATGCCGGGGTATTTCTATTCAAATCAATCAATAATGAAATATAAAAAATATATTGCCTGAGAGCTGTTTTTCTCTCCACTGCTGTGCACCTCAGACCCTCTCCGGAGATGAAGGGGAGTCTGAGACCGTGGAGGACTAAATTAAAGAAAAGCACTGGTAAGTGACTGTAATTGAAACATTACACAAAATGTCTTACACATTGCTTTAAAACAATGTTTTAATGAAAGCAGAGACAGTCTCCATCACATGTATAAAAGCTTATGACTGTAAGCTAAATAGCTATCTAGTATCTTAAATTAAAGATATGTGTGAAGTCTTTTTATCAACTCACCCTTGTTCACTATTACTATTTTCCTGTTATGTATAGGCTGCATTTTTTAATGCATGCCTGTAATCGGAAAGTATCATGAACCCCGTGAAATCAGTCCTGCAAAAATCAATTTGGCTGTCCATTCAATATTAACTTAACTGGACAGCATCAAACAAGGTCTACTGCAAAACAAGATGTATGATAATGCATTCCCAGCTTCATAACAATTAAGTACTCCTAGCAGAATGCATAAACATCTATATTTGGTACAATAAATGTATAATCCTTTAAGTGTACTTCTTCATGTATTACATAAAATCTGAAAGATTTCTAAATTTAATAGACCACCTATTAGTGTAATCTACTTTTATACCTGTCACAATGAGAGCTTCCTCTGGAGCTACTTCTGCCAGATTCATGCTGTGCATCTAGAAGCATGTTTTCGATGTCTCCATTGTGAATCGAAGCTGGCACCTGGTCCTGCCCTCCATTTTGTGTAACACTCCCATTTCCATTATTATTAAAGTGCAGCTCCACCCAAGAACCTATAGGAACATGTAAAACAACACAACAAATCACACCCAGTAAGTATAAATATATAAGCTCTATAATTTTAAACTTTAAAATGAGCACACATACAGTACCACTAGCATGCCTAATTTAAAAAGGACAGCTTTAAAAGATCATCAGCCCTTTATACTGCACTTACTTTAATGCAAATAAACAGTGTTCTTTTTGAACCAGCTGACTGTCACATGCTTGTGCCCTCTCTTTACATCACTGTATTTTTTTTACAATCTACTATCCAATAAGGAAAGGAGCATCAGAACCACTCCTGTCTATTGCATCACTTGAAAGAAAAAACATGTCTGTGGTTATTTTTGTTCCTTATCATAGCTGCATTAGGTAGGACCATAAATAGAATGCTACAATTGACAATAAAGAACTCATAGGACAAAAAGACTTTGCAAGGTCATCTGATCAGTCAGTTTCAAAGCTGATACTGTTTTACATTAAGGAACTGAAAGCAGAAAGGGTATGAAAACAGGATAAAATCAATACTTTGAGTGCAACTGATCCCACCAACATTAACTGCTAATTGTGAATGTTCAATATTCAATACATGACCTCTCAATACTTTTTTTAAAAAAATGCATAAATTGTGTCTAATGTTGTACACAAAAGCTACTTAAGTTTGCAAACGCACACTCTTCAGTCATTTGTAATTATTAACTTTTTGTTCCATTTCTTAAGCATAATGGACTGGCAAGATTATAATTAAAATACGTTTGGCTTGTGGTAAAAAACTGACATGAAATGAGCTCCTATTTTCTTTTAGTCCCCTACTTCAGTGAAAAAGGAAAAATAAACAAAATGCGGTTTTCCTGAAATTATATCTTCTTATCAACAGTATTAAGATTAATTTAATTAATTGGCTGATACAATCCATTTATCTACTGCAAAGGGATAAAACAGTACATACTGTACGTTCTGAAAGTATAGATTTAATGATTATGGAAGTTTGATATAACAATACACGATAACATCAAGGGTGAAAACTGGTGACTGGTGAATCTACATTAGCCAAGTCTGTGTTAAACCTTAAATTATCACTTATTCTTAGATTATGGTTAGGGTGAGAGTGTGTGGACACAGGTGAGGTCAGGAAAAAAAAGTATTCGGGTTTCACCAAGAAGCCTTTGACGAACCTACATTTACTAGATCACCAGCTTCTTAAATATAAGTTTAGTTTCATGATTTTAAATGTATACATCTGATTGTTTTCCTGGTGATTCTTAATAATTTAATTGGGATTGTTTGCTTGTCACTTATATTATTATTTCAACATCATCCGAGATTTTACAAAAAATGTAACAGTATTTTTGTATTTTTTCATAACAATGGTACAAATAGCTTAAATTCCAACCCTAAACAGGGGAACAAATACCAGTCTTACGCCATTCTAGTTTTGTAAATCTCATACTAGCACATTTGGCACCAAACAAGAGTTTTAACTCTGCTTAGACCGACCTTGTAAATGAAACCAATTGATTAAATCACAAATCTTAACTAGGGATGAAATATTCAATCTGCTTGGAATTTGATTTCCACTTTAACTAGCTATATACAGTGTTACAATTTTTTAGAAAAAAAATCTGAAAATCAGTCATTTTAGAATAGTTGATTTTCAAATACGACAAAACGATAGATCGAAATTAAGTAAAGTCAACAGAAATCGCCTCCAAACCTTGTGCGCTCTGCTGTTGTTTACATTCCACTCTGAAACGTCACTTTAGCAGCATTTGAGCAACGTGCATAATTATCATTAATTTATAATCCAAGGAAATTATGAATAGCAACCCTTAAGGCTTGCATAATTTCGCTAACATTGCAAAACAAATCGCTGTCACTCAAGGCCTCTACACTGAACACCGCGGACAGAAACCAGCAACCTACCCTGCAAATTTTCGTCCTGGTTACTTTGCTTCTCTGTCGACATGTTTCTTGTCACCTCTATCAACAAAGGTGGTGCACAAGCTGTACTGCTAAATTAACGCTACACCTGCGCTACTTTCATACAAATTGGCGTCTGTTTGGTCTGGGTAACAAGCATATATCAAGAACCAGACCCCCACAAAAACACAGTGACGCAATGTATTGTTGATTTACTGGAGTCCGTGTCGCGATTGGTCAGAAAAGGACCACGTCATGCCGGGGCTGGATTGGGAAAAAAAAGAACGTGCAGTTCAGCTGCAGATTTGTACTGTGTGCTTGCGCCTTTTCCCAGTCCTGCAAAGATTTATACACAGGGCGAGCCTTGTGGTCATTTGAGTTATGTTACTATTATCGTGCTTTAAAAGCGAAAGAATGCTAACAACGAAAGGCAACTTCCTTGTATCCTTGATTGGCAGTGTAAGAAGATGAAGAAACGTTCCTGAGCCGAGACACAACTGTTGTGAAGAGTTTAACTGTAAGCGACGTAAAGCAATCATAACACTGAAAAGCTTTGTAATTGTATTTTCAGTTGCTTGTGGATTACAAAACATATGTATATATACTACCACTATAAAGAAGGCTTTAGCCCGGCCAGATTCATACAGCGTACTTGTCAGGCATAACATAGGAAATACTGTATATTCGATAGTGCGCCCTCAGGTGGTGAAATCTAGGAATGCCGCGATTGCTCTACAGTATATGAGAAGAGGCCATTAATATTTTGGATACAGTTCCTGTTCATTTAAGGAACGTGCAAACGCCTCTCGTTCCAGGATTAAAGTTATATACCCTTCTCTTCTCTTTTAAAACAACATGCAATTTCATTATTAAAATCGAGTTATTCTAATCAGTTTTATTACACTGTATAAAGATCTCAGTCACAATAGCTGTAGAAATTCTTCTGTTTCAATAAATTTAAACCCCCTAGCAAAACTACCACCACTAATATGATAATGTATTAGGTGGTTCCCAATAATTTTAACTGTAACGTGTTGCCTCGCCTGTTATATTGCAGTTGAGACTGATGGGTCTATCTTGAACAGAGCCTGATTTTAGGTTTCTCTGTTGTTTGCTGAAGCAATGTCTCATTCTATCAGCAACTTCTCTTGGTGATGGGCCCCCTTCAATGATGCTATCATCAGTCAGTTTTCATTATTCAAGAAAGCCATTACTGTATGTTGTCCTTCTTTCTCCTCTTTTTCAGGGGTTATATCTACATTACACAATAACTTCATTGGTAATTTGTATGCAGCTACACAGTGTATACACGTCTATTCTGAGAATCACATTACTGAACTAAAGTTTGTGCTCTCATAGGCCTTTTGATATTAAATGTGAATTGTTGTGTGTTTTCATTAGGAATTAGTTATGTTTATGTGCTCATAATTGAATTAGTTACATATAATATTAAGATAACATATTTAATCAATTAGAAAACAAGACATTTTCCCAAATGTTCTATCAACTGTAATTGAATGCATAAGAATATTATAAGAGGGCTATAGAAAATCTGATTTTGCATATATCTAACAATGTCAGATTACTCAAGTCTTATGTTTTCTAAACATTTGAACTGTGAGTTTAATATAGTCATAATGTATGTCTGCAAAGGAACAAGTAATAGGTTTATTCCATGCTGAAAAGAGAAGAAAGGAATCACAACATTTCGGCCGTGGAGCCTTCTTCAGGTGTGAAGTTGAAGAGTTAAAGAACACACAACTGAAGAAGGCTCCACGGCTGAAATGTTGTGTTTTCTTTCTTCTCTTTTCAGTATGGAATAAACCTATTACTTCTTCCTTTGCAGCCTGCGCATTCTGACGCAGCTCCCCACCTGAGCTACATAATGTGTCTGTCTGCAAACATTTTCTAATACCATCTTATTTATGAAGCAGCCTTCTGTGGTGCTTGTAAACTCTTCAACTATCTCAGCAATAATATTAAGCAGAACTAGGAGTGGAAGTTCTCCCTGTGTTCACTAGGGTTTCCTCCCACAATCCATAGACATACAGTACTAGTAGGTTAATTGGCTTCTGGCAAAAGGCCCTGGTGTGTGTGTGTGTGTGTGTGTGTGTGTCCCCGCGTGTGCCCTGCTTTGGACTGGCATCCAGTCTAGGGTGTATCCTGCCTTGCACTTGTTGATTGCTGGGATAGGCTCCAGCTCCTCCATTACCCTGTACTGAATAAAGCAGTTAGAAAATGGATGGATAGACAGTCTTCCCTCTTCATGTACAGTACCTCAGTTTGAGTTGATGCAAAGAGTAAAAAAAATCAAAATCCACAGAGTAACTAATTTAGTATGTCAGAAAAGTTGAGAAAATGATGAATGGGTATTTACAGGAAATTAAAGACTGGGCAGAAACCTGGCAGATGAGATTTACACATAGTATTTACACATGTAAAAAGTATTCTTACACGTAGTATTACATGCAGGAAGCAAAATCATAAACTTTAAAAACAAAATGAGAAATGAGAAGCTTGAAGAGTCTACTTATGATAGACTTAGGTGCTTATGCTGACACACTATTTACATTTTCTAGACAATGTGGGAAACAATAAGAAAGGCAAATAAAATGTTGGGATATATACTGTACCTGAAAGCCCCGGATTTGAAATAAGTGATTTTACATTGGAAATTGTGCAAAGCTCTAGTTAGACATTATTTACAATATTGTTTATCATTTTCATGACCACATTATAAAAAAGATGTTGCTTGTATGGAATCTGCTCAGAGAACAGCAACTATATACTGTACATTCTGGAGCTTCAGAGAACATCCTGCACTGATAGCTTTAAAAAACTGAGTATTTTAGTCTTCAACATAGAAAACTATAAAGGAACATAATCCAAGTATTTAACATCCTTTAAGGCACTGACAAATTCAATTGAGTGAACGTCTTCAGAATCAACAGTCAAACATGACTCAGAGGACACTATGTGGAAATACCTTTAAAACCAAGAATAGGAGGTACATCTTCACACCAAGAGTTGTGAGAGTATGGAACAAGAGCTACCCAGCAATAGAGAAGCCAAAAGCCTAACTACTATCTCACTCTCAAAAGCATCACTTTTCAAACACAAGTTTAAATATGAAGGGGGTAATAAGTATTTTATTGTTCCTTTGAGTGCCATGAGTGTTAAATGTTATACTGTATGTGAATACTTGAGAAAATGTATATATTTTAACCAATAATTATTAAATTCTGCAGCAGAAAGCGGTAATTTAATTCTTATCAGAAAAAAACCCACGACAAAATGCACACAAAAAAGTGTGAACCTTTTTTGCAAGTTAAAAAAAGAAAAAGGAATTGCAAAGGTTCAGTTTTTGTAAAATACTGTAAATAATCACCCATATACTATAGATGGTCAATGTGATGTGCTTTTAAGTTTTACATTTATTTTGGCAAATGATTATAGCTGAACACTCAGCAGTCACAGAGGTTTTTTTGACAGCCTCTAATACCGCCACAGAGCAAGAACTGCAAGCAAGGCCTCTTCATGCGTGGTAAAACATTCTGCAAATCCACTTGAATGCAGACGATAAGCCTCACTTTCCTTGTGCATTACATCCACTGTATTTCCCTAATCACGGTTATCTGTGCTAAGAGAATTTTTTCTTGTGCAGGGTGGATCGCCGGCTTGCCGAATGTGCTCCTTGATGACGTGTCTGCACTCGGCAGCTACTGTAGCTGCAGTGACACTGCAATGGCTGAGGGGCGGCTGGTGGAAGCTAGCAATGAGCTCATTCTCCCAGGAGGGAGCCAAGCTCACAGCGCATCACTGGGAAACTGCAGCTTCTGCGTGAAATACGTCCTTAGTCTGCCTCTGCTCCTGTCGGCCTGATTCTTTACTTTTGGGGGTGTGTACATGGTAAGAAGATAATCCTGTCTGGTTGATTTTAAATGCTTCCCAGGGCTTTTTTTTTTTTTCATTTTTTGATGCATCATTATCCACTGCTTCCATTATTCAAGGAATTTGGATGCAGCATTAGATTTCATGCTGCAGTGATGATTTTTTATATTTGCCATATGATGAATGTTGTTAATGTATGTGGAAGGTACTGCCTGCAGTTTTATTTTAGTATGTCCATCACTGCACACAGCAAATGGCACTTCCTCAAATACTAGAACAGCTCCCCAGGTAAACCAGCCAGAGAGCGTACAACATAACGGGATCATGGCTTTAAGGTTGGTCTCAGTATTTGTATTTGTATTTTTAATGCTTCTGTCTTAAATTTACAAAGGTTATTATTTCTGCATGCTTAAGGTTGTTTTTAAAATTAATGCTCTCTTGATTTTATGTGCAGGCTTTTTCAGACTGCAGAGCACCTAATACCTGTTTCCAGTACAGGCCTTACCATTTATTTAACCTGTCAAAACAAACTGCAGTATTTTTTAAAATAATTTTACAAGTATTACTTTTCATGACTAGTTATGTTTGTAAATATTTGGATTGTCTGATAAAGTGTAATCTTTTTTTAGAAGGCAGGGTTTTTACTTTTTAACAATTTTTATGTATCTATAATATGTTTATATATACAAAACAAGAAGTATGCATCATTATTTTGATTATCATTAAAAATATATTTGATCATAATTAAATGCTATATACTGTATAGTAGCTGAAAGAAAGTATATTTATGGGTTTCTTTCTTGCTGCAAGTAGTTTGTCAATTCTTTAACCTGTTACACTCAAAAGGATGCATGCATATGACAACTGTGCACACAGTTGTCACCTTAATTCTTCATTTATTACCAATAACCTAATTTCCTAGTATGTATTTCCTGGTTATGGAGGTACTTTCCACAGCACAGGCCATGATTGATGTTCAGACTGCTGCCTTGTAAAAGAAGGCCTATGACAGTACATTTTTACTCAGTCTGGTTTTGAAAAGCTGATCTTTGGTCTCAGAAATTGAACTGTTGTTCTTAACATTTAAGAAATAGTAAATAGTGTTCTTTTGTATCATATCACTGATTAGGTATTGTCTGTTTACCATAACAAAGATATTTATAATTCTACAGTGTTTTCAATATGCAAATACAAGAAAATTCATGCTCACATTTTGTCTAGGATGTTCCATCAATTAACTAACAAGAAAATCTTAAAAATTCTACATGTAGTGTTTTTATCTAAGTCATTTTCTTTTCTTTATTCTATAGGTAGAAGTTTCAGTTGCTTTAAATATTTTCTTACATTTTGATACAGGAGGTCTGTTAGGTCTCTCATTGTGAAATTGTAACATAACAATTATTTTTGCTCAGCTTGAAACATAATGCCAGAGACCATCGGGGCTATTACAGTTTGACCATTAATGAGCTAGGTTACTATATTACTATAGGAACAAGTAATAGGTTTATTCCATGCTGAATAAACCTACGAATTGTTCCTTTGCAGCCTAGGCATGCTGACGCAACTACCCACCTGAACTACAACTATATTACTTTGTACCTATATAAGTTACCATAGGTTAATATATTCTGTAGAGTGAATACTGAAACTAAGCTTCCAAAGACTCATACTGTTAGCAGCCCAGTTTTAGGCAAGGCTGTAACAATGACTATTTCTGAATAGTCCAGAGAATAACTGAGAAGACCATCTATCTTGTGGTTCTAAAGGTATCTCAAAAGAATAGCAATTTTTATATCAATCAGATAGAGATTCATTAGTCATTATCAGGCAGTATATAATTTGCGAACAGATTTTTAATTTTTAAAAGTTTGGAATCATCTAAGGTTTTTCTTTGTTGCGCCCACATTTTTCTATTTTTACACATCACAAGTTGTGAATAAATAGAGAATGAGGACATCGTACAGCACATGTACCTCTTTGAGCCTGAAAGCTGTATCTTTCACCAATGAGACCAATCATCAGTACTGTTGTTGAGATGGAAACCTATGCTGACGAAATCCTGGGCAGTTGCTTTGCCAATCTTGGTCGTTAATTTGGTTGACATTTTTATCCAAAGCAACTTACATTTGTACCAATTTCTAAAGCTGTGCATTTTACTAAAACCCCCTAAATCTCCCCACCAAAAGTTAAACTCACAAGCTTCTTGTTATAAGCCCATAGCCCTAACAACTACTCCTCACTGCTGTCTACTATTTAGAGTCAATTTACAATTTACAATTATTACAATTTACAATTTAGAGCTTGAGAGATCAGGGTTTCAGCCAGTTAATATTGTAGTCCAGGCTGTGCCCATCAGTGTTTGGCTATGGGGCTTAATCTGCATCGTGTGCTACTACATACTGTTTGAGTCACATGAATGGACCAAAATAACTTGAATGTCAAATAGACTGAGAGGATTTATCAATATTAAAACTGTAACTCCATTTTAATCTTTTATAGGCTGTGGTGCTAAAATTCCTGATCTGATTTTTTGCCGTCTGCACCATTATGTTGAGTATTCTTATTTAATACTTGCAAGTGCCTTAGCTACCATATATGTTTACTGTATACACCTGTTTGGGTTTGGAATCACCATTTGTTAAACTTGCAAATAGTTTTAAAAAAGCAAATAAAAGTTGTTATGAACAGCACTGATTGCAGTGATGGCTACAGTAGGTGTTTTGATTTTGTTAACCGAAATGCCACATGTAAAGCCTCAAGTAAAGAAAGATAACAGTTTATATGCGAACATAATATTTTTAGAGAATCTCAATTTAATTTTACATTATGATATATTATGTACTGTATCTTGTTGTATTTTTACAGTTTTAATTGGAATTTAATTAATTGTTTTGGTTTAAAATATTATAGACTTGTGTACATTACAGTATATGAAAGTATTTATACTGTCAGAAATTGTATATCTTTTTTGAGTGAAATGCAGAGTAATTTGCATTTGTCACTAAAACATAAATTGTTTGCACTGGATTATTGACCTTTTCTGTAACAATGCAAAGAGCAGATGAAATTGGATTGTGGTTACCCATGTGATACAGTGATAATGTGAAATAGTTGAAGTTTTTTTAGCAAGCAATTTTGCAGTATTTTGCCATTACAGTATTTTTTAGCAAGTAATTCAGTAAGAACCGAGGATGTTGAGGATACAGAGGATATTCAAAATGTAATCCTGCACTTTTCTGTGGGAATTCATGAAAGATTTGAGCCTTTTATTATGAACTGTGGCCACTTTCATATCTGAAGTTTTAGTCTGATCCAGTGTTTGCAACAGCTATTCAGAGAGATTCTTAGATGTTAATTTAAATTTCGCTTGCTGAAATACAGGAATGTGCTTCTGCAGATACAGCAGTGCAGTGGTTACCATTGCAGACCCATGGTGCTGCATCCTGGGTTCATTTCTGGACCCGAGGTGCATGGACCTGCATCTGCATGGAGTTTGTTTATTCTCCCCATGTTTGTGTGGGTTTCTCAACATACTCTGGTTTCCTCCCACAGTACAAAGACGCACTGCTAAGTTAATTGGCTTCTGGGAAAAATGGCCCTGCTATGAGTGTGAGTGTGTGCATGTTTGTGTCTGCGTTCCCTGCAATGGACTGGCGTCCTGTCCAGGGTGTATCCTGGCTTCTGCGTGCCAGGATAGGCTTCGGCTTCCCCGCATCCCTGTGTTGAATAAAGTAATTATAAAATAAATGGCTGGGTGGGTTCTGCAAATAACAGCTGTGTATGTAAATGTGGTGAACAATGCGATGTCCGAGCAATGATACTTCTAATTGCCTAGAAACCCCAAAACCCCATAAATCAAGTGCACTTTGAATAAGTTTATTCATCAGGCACACACAAAGCTTTGACTGTTTCCCTTATGTTATGTCCTGGCACGGCAGTGATAAACTACTTGGTCATTCCTGTTAGCAAATAACCATTTACTGTTGTATAAATAATACCTTATTGCAAACTGTATATAACCTTAAAGTATGTTCTACATGCAGACATTGTAACAGGTTAATGGACTGTTCTTATACTACATTAATTGTATGTATTTTGCCACAGGAAGTAAAAAACATCTGCAGACTTCTTAAACATTGCTATAGGAGATATTACAGTACAACAATACACTATATTGTACAAACAGAATGAAAATTTAATTTAGTTCTTTATACCAAGATTAGAAAATATTCTGTGTCTTTGTCTATTTTCCCTTTGGCCTTTAGAGTATTATATAATTATTAATAAACTGACATATAAAATGACAATTTGCTTACCGTTCATTGTCATTGTTTAGTGATTTTACTTTATAGTTTACAAAATAAACATCAGATAAACATCACTACAAATCAAATAATCAAAGTTAGATTTCTAATCTAACACCATTCCCAATTTGCACATGATCTAGTTAATGAAATCCATAACAAATATTAATTTGTTAAATTTGTTGTTGTGTTTTATGTTCTGCAGTAAAAAATCATATGTGAAGTTTGTTGCAAGTTACTAGGGTGATGTAGAAATAAACAGAAGTGTTGACTTAATTAAAGTAATGCTGAGTCACAACCCAACACAGATTGACCGTTTCAGTTGTTGGTGCTTGACAAAAGTTTGTTAGTCCGAATGTGGCTCAATGTTTTTTTCAGGTTTATGCTATTATAGGTATGAGTGACTTACCTTTCGTCACATCTGCTTCCATTGCAGAGATCTTGATATTTCTGACTTATAAACTTAATTGACAGCTTTCCTCTGTAACTGCAATTCTGTTCCACAATATCACTTTAAAGCTAAAAAACTGAGTATGCTTTTAAAGTATCGTTTATTATTCTAGCTCTAGCCCATGCCAGACTGTACTAGACCAATTCAAAACAAGGAATTTAATTCCCTCTATGTACTGTAAAAGTGTGCATGATTAATACAATTGTAATAAGAAAACAATTGTTTATTGAGAAAGATATTTCAAATTAATTTGGTTGTTTTAC